TGTGTGCGAAAGTAGTGATTTAGGCTGGTGCTGGTGATGCTTGTTTGTGGTATGGATAACACGGTCGATGCTGCTTCCAGTATCTCCACCTGCAGAAGACATGGCAGCTGTAGCGGCAAGTCCTGTCTGTAGCGGAAAAAGCCGACCCGTTAAGTCACCTGAGGCGGTACCCACAGACGATGCCATATCGTCAGAGCCAGCATCTCTGAGCCCAGCAGGAGAGCAACACCTAGGTCCAATTTCAGAAGAAGAGGACGCCAAAGATCCGCCACTGCGATGCCGACAATTTGACAAGCCACCACCAGAAAGCAGAGCTGCTTGGTGATGAAGAGTTAAAAATTGCATTGTTTTTAGCAAATGTATTAAAATTAATAAAATGAGCTGAAACAAGACAGAATATTATGGGCTTCCATCAAAATGTTGAACTTCAATCGTCTATTGTTGAGAGAGCTTAATATCCAATTAAAAAATCTTTATTATGACCATATGCACAATTAATTAAATAAATACATGGTGAAAAAGTAAAAAAGAAACTTAATATAAAGTTTCCCGTTAATGCAAAGTTATTGCCTATCAAATAACTGATCAATAATTTCTACCAAATGAAATAAATATTCTAGATAAGGATGAAAAAAGATTCATTTTGAACAGAAAAAAATATATTGTAGATATAAAGGACAAGACGGTGTGGCTTTTTGGTTGATCACAATCTCCTTAAGCTGTAATGTTGATTTTGCCTCATTTTCTTAACTTAGTCGGCGGAACAGGTAAGCCTTGTGGAACGTACATAATCCTGCGCCTTCTGCCATAGTATTGATGATGATTTCCAGTATCGAATCCTTGACTTGATACATTCCCAGAATTTTAACAGGCATCGTCAGTGAGCGACGCCATCTTTAACATAGATTTATAACTTATCAGTGATCATTGAAGAAAATCCCCTTAACAAATTTTCTTTAAACGTAGAAGCCCTCGGCCCATCATCTTCCGATTACAAAGAATCAATGCTAAGCTTTCGCTTGTCATGATGAAAGCATCCTCGGAGCATGAAACCATTCAAGAAACCCTCACTAAGCATCAAGCTAAAAAAGCAGTTTGTAACATACATTATAGCCAAGCCTCATCCACCTACTTAGGGATCATATTATTTAGTGTGTTATGTCATATATCTTCTAAAGATATGTTAAGTGGATGCGATTGTGGCTGAACTGTTGTACCCTAACTAAAATTATTTTACCTACATTCTGCATTTTTGATGTGCATACTAGTAGTCGTTTGTGCATGTGCGCAATGCCCATAAGGCATATAGAGTGAAAGCTGCTGAGGCAATTCAGGCCTTCACAAGTTACTTAGTCCTTCTTGCTCTCGTATCCTCCCCTTAAGTCCATGAATCCCAAGTAGTACCCAA